ACCATCACAAGTGTTTAACCCGAGCAAGCCAAGTAAACTAATCCTATGTATATGGTTGGATCTTTCTTTCTGGCCAAAACAGAAGCTCTTTACACCTGGACAAATCTAAGGAGTCTCTGGGATTCCCCTGATTCTTCTTCTTGAACCATCCTTCAGGAGAAAAAGCTGGTTTTTTTGGCAAGTGCCCTGCCCCTTGATCCTTTGTCAAGGAGTGACAGAGAGAATTTGAATCCAGAGAATAAAACTGTGATTGAAAATAGTGAAGGCCAGTCGGCCTGAAGGCATTTTATGCTGTGGGTAGTGGGTAGCTGATTCCCTTTCTCAGGCCATTTGGAATAACTGGCTTTAGGAATGTTCACATTTCTCTGCTTTAGGCTGTGGTTAAAGAAGTGAAGATTAAGATTTGCCTCTGTCCTTGGGTTGTGGGAAATAAATGACTTCCTTCATCAGACAAAGAAGACAACCTGTGGGAAAGTCCCTTGTTAGACTGAAGCTTAAGGGCCACATCTCTGCTAGGCAAGCTGTGGGTGGATTTGCCTTAAAGCATTCATGCCTATTTTTGGTCATTTTGCACACTGTCAAAACAAACAAAAAAAAACTAAATCACTTTGTTCTATGCAGAGAAAAAAAGGAAAGTGGACCAGAGCTGCTGTCTCTTGCCTTCTAACTGAATCACTGTCAGAAGTTTACCAATTTAAAGACATCTTCAGTTAATTTTCATGCAGATGTGGGTGTGCACTATGCTGAGCAATAGTTGGCTGTGCCTTCTACCTCTCACAGGATTCTCTCAAACATGCCTTTCTTCTGTGTTTATTGGTTGCTTTCCAGGTTTAACCTCAGATGGGAGCGTAAGGGGCTTGCCAACTGCTGCAGCAGACTGCCTACTGTAGTACCCAACCTCTCTGATGATTGATCTGGAAACTGCATGTGTAGAGTTTTACATAAGCAAGAGTTTTACACAAAAGCTTCTTTAAAGTTGCTGGCCAAAAAAAAAGTCAGGAAAGTAAGCACAACTTAAATATCCTGAACACTTCTGTAATAGCTAGCTCTGCATAATATGCAGTGACTAGCAATTTTTTCCACTTCTAATCATTATTTTTTTATGCAATTAACATCTAAAACATTAATGAAAGTAATGGAAACAACAAGAAACAGCTCAGCGATCTGAAGATGCCCCTTAGACCCTGTTCTTTAGAGGCCCTGCAGGGCCTTTGGAGGGGGGTGTAATAACACCTGCAGCTACGCAGCTCCTGAGGTATTTTTATCCCCCCCGGAATTCCACTTCTGTTCTCCGCCTAGACCTCCCGTCTAAGCTCATGGGAATTCACTCAGTGATGATCCTTGACATAGATTTAAACACCTACCTCATCGTTTTTCATTCACTCTTGCTGACATAGTTCATTGATATATGAAGCCACACACTTCCAGCTTTGAGAATTACTAGCTGCATTAACAAACTGATGTTTTTTTTGTCAGGTTGATGTTAGTCATGAGCAGCTGCTCTTTCAAAAACTAGTGAAACTGAATTTTTAACCTTTACCACATCTCCCAATGGATGAGAGCTGGGTGCTCTTCACACTGGTGTTTTGAACCAGATCCAAACAAACAAGAGCAGATGACTTGGAAAATATGCTGACATTTGGAACAGAAATGACAACAACATAAATGACTTTGGTGCCGTGGTACTGGTTGATAGCACCGTTCTATCAAAACATACTTTATGCAAATGGCTGAGAGGATTCATAGTAGAGGTATTTGTGATGACTGTCTACCTGAGTTAATGTTCAGTCACAGGTTTTTTTTTCATGTGAATAAAGTTAATTAATTAATCTGCTACAGAGTTTAGCCTTAACTTAGGCACAGTTGGGCCACCTTTACTTAAATATCCCTCTAATTTTACAGCAGGTCTTTACATTTAGTAAAGTCTTCTTTTTCACTGTTTTCACACAAGTGCATGTTGATATAGACATTAAACCTTTCATCTCACCCATCATGCACACCAAATGAAGTAGGGATTTCATGCATAATCAGACAGCAGGAGTACTCCCCAAGCAATATTAGAAAAAATGTAACTACGGTAACAGTGAATAATGTTTATGCCTGAAGACAAAGATGAGTTCATCTGTCGCCGAAGTGTCAGATGATCTCGATTGCAAATTGCCCATTACTAATGGTTCATAGTGTTAATATGTTTCAAATTTCTTCTTAATTGCTGGCTGCAGGTACCAAGACCATGATACTCCCATCAATATTTATTTTATAATAATTTTAACAACTAGAGAACCCCTTTTGTGCTTGTTGTGTGGGCTGTGATGAAAGCTAACCTTTTCTTATTGCTCATGGATATTTTGCGCTGTTCGGCAAGTAAGGCCAGATCAGATTTTTCCTACCATGCTCCTTGTCTACTCCCACTTTTGGTCTTTCCGTGGAGCGAAGGTTTGCCAAAACAGCTGCCAGGTAATTTCCAAGTTAGAATGGAGGGGCGGGCTCTTGAAAGGCAAGGTTAACCTCTGAATTTCTCCTCTCTTTGCACCCTTTGATGATTTTTGTCAACATCAGACAGCAGTGTCTTGTTTGCTCTGCAGCACAGAACATCTGGAGGGGAGCACAGCTCTCTTTCATGCTTCAGCCCTATTATGTTTATATTAATGGCATAAACAGCTGTGGAAGAATATTTTGTTCTCACAGCCCATCACTTCAGTAGACCTAATATAGGCCTTGGCAAAGCTAACAGAACTGTACTGTTAGTACTGTTGTGGGGGGAAAAAAAGAATAGGAACGGGACTTTGATGTGCAGATGGTGTCCAACAAAGACAGGTTTTATTGTGATGTTCTGAGCTCAAAGTGTATCTTGGGTCTCTGAACAAGGACTGTTCAAAACTCACAGTATGAGATGCTTAACATGTTGCAACTGTCTTTCATTCCAGAAACTTCACAATGGTTCCCTGCAAATCCCAGTTAATTATGAGATTGCCAAAGAGCATGACCTTGGGAACTGGTGGAAAGTGGCTTTACTGACATGAAACTATTTCCTAAGGCCCGGACACCTGGAGGTCATTCCCTTCCTGGCAAAAGCCTATTCTACAAATTCAAGACTCTGTTATTGTCAAGATGCAGATGTTTACTTTCTGCACCTCACTGAGAAGCTGTGGATGTGTTGCAGCTCTAAAGATTAAATTTCAGTTGTAGAAATGGTTGCATGAAGTGCCTTTCCTACACGGTACAATGTAGTGTACCACAGTGTTGTGGAGAAAAGTGTACTGGGCAAGCTGACAGACTGATCTAGCTTTGGCCTGTGATTATGTGGGACATTGTAAGTGTGGCCAAGTCAACAGGTGGTGTCAGATTAGTTGGTCCTGAGGTGAGAATGAGCAAGAGAGGAAGCGAGGAGGGCAACTCTACTGCATTCAGCGTAGGGAAGCCAGTGCTTAATTTCAGAGCCATCAAACAGGTGTAGGCACTTCCTTTCTAAAGCTTAGCTAGAAAGCAAACCTTTAAATCAACTAATTATAATCTATGTTTAAAAAAGACATCTTATAAGTCATGTTAGCACCTTGGTTCTTGGCTTAGTAATGCCAATGCTTTCCTCTAAATTAAAATATCTTAAAAACCTTTCACTGGATTTCTGGGGGATTTTGTACAGGCATTTGTACAGGCATTCACCCACACACAAATTAGAAAATACACAGATACATAAATCAACAATCTTTTTCTAGTGTGAGTAAGAGAGAGAAACAGAGAGTGTTAAAATGCCTGTGTCTTTGTCACAAATCTATGAGGGTGGGAAGCCACTATAATGCCCCTCATCTTGACGACAACCAAACGCCCATCCCAGCAAGAGAAGGAGGGCCAAAGAGTGAGAGTCCCAGAGGACCAGAGGCAACAGTCAGTCGACCCCACTAGAGGCCAGCCACCCTGATATTTGTCTAGAACAGTGTCCCAGGCACCCAAAAACCACCCAAACCCCAGCATTGCCATGCAGGGCCAGCACCCGCCACCACAAGCACCCCAGGCCCCACATCCCAAGATCGTTAGACAACACCTGCCACTAACCGAGGTAGACACACATACACTCCAAAACCACAACCTCAGCTCTCCAGTCCCTAGAAGGCCACCAGACACCTGTAGTCCCAGAGACCACACTTATCCATCTGCAAGGCAAACAGGGAAAAGAGACTACAGTCATCCACTAAGTAATGGAATTGATAAGTGGGGACCAGTGAGGGACAAATTCATCCAGTTGGTATTTTGAAGAGGCAGACATTCTCTAAAAACTAATGTGATCAAGAAGTACATTTCTATATTGACTGATACATAAGCTGTTTTTTGATTTCCAGTTCATGAGAATAGTTTTCTTGGCGATGGATAAGGAAGTAAGGAGTATATGTGATGCATTTGCTTCCATATGTCACCTAAGATGCACAGCTTGGGTGAGGTTGGGATACTGCAACTAAACCGTGCGGATAGCTCTTCGCATATCCTCTGCCAAAATCTCTGGACAGGCCTGCAGGACCATAGAGTACATATAGTTCTCAGCAGAGTTGTCTTTGCAATAGGTGCATATTAGTATGTAAGGCCCATTTGGAACAGCCTTTGTCCTGTATGGTGTGTTCTGTAGAGAATTTTGTATTGTATAAGTTCTAAGTTGGGGCTTTTAGTCATTTTGAAGGTGTTTAAGCCTATTTGTGTCCAGAAGTTTTGATGTAGACCAATGAAAAGATCTCGTTCCCACTTCACAGTTAGGATGGAAAGTAATTCGTCAGTTTTAAACAATATCTTACACATTTTTGATAACCATTTGGGGTACAGATATTTAAAATTTTGTTACTCAAGTTGGCGTTTGTAGATTCAGTTGACTGGGATTGAATAGTTCCTGTATGATGGACTTCAGTTTCAGACATCCAAGGAATTCGCCATTGCTGATTCTGGACCATAGCGATACACAGATCCTGTCACAAACAAGGATGCAGTGGACTCAAGAGCAGACTCAATTGCTCGAACTATGTACAATTTATTGAAAGGAAAAGGAACAAGACTGGGTCTAACAGAAATAATTCGCAGGAACTGAGGGAGGCCCGAGGGCGGAGAAACGGACGTAGAACACAGGGAGAACATGGGCGGGAACTTCTGCAAACACAGGAGAAGGGTTTTACTGAATGGGAAACAATTAAAGGACAGAGGTGAGTGGTACTAGTGGAGAGTCTTGGGCTTACTTGAAAACACCGGCTATTAGGCGGGGAAGGGGTTGCCGTGGGGGGCGTTCCAGGGATGGTTGAGAGTGTGGGGAGGCTGGTCCAGGTTCCAAGGTGTCCAGGGAGGTTGAAGTACGGGCTGGAGGGCAGGCTGAGGAGAAGATGAGTGTGTGGTCCTCGGGTTCTGGGCAGACGGGAGAACGGGACGGAAACAGAACCAGCACTGCTGGTGAGTACGACGGGTGATGAATCTGGAGAATACAGGAGACGGAGGACACATTAACCCACGATCCAGGCACACAGAGTCTGAGCATAGAGGAGGCCAAGTTTACCACGGGTGGTAGCAGGACGAACTGGCGAGGAGTAGCAGGCAGTGCTGGCTTAAAAACCCTCTAGATGGAGCCCCGGAAATTGGAAGCAGGTGATGAGCTGGCCAACTCCACCCCAGGGGACGGACAACAGGAACCTGGACCACACCCGACCAGACACTCCCACAGCATATGACAGATCCATATTTTGAATACATAAATTAAGTTTTGTAAACTTTGCCTTCTAGATCTGTAATAGTGTTGCTAACAGTGAAGTTTATTTTTCTGCTAATTAATTTGGCTACGCCTCTTTGTTTTGAGTTGTAACAGGCTGAGAACGTGTGAGGGAACTGTGGAGAAGTGAGTGTGTGTACAAGATGTTTTGGACATGTGAGTCTCCTGTAGAAAGACAATGTCTGCCTGTAAGTCATTTAATCGGTTAGTAATTTTAAGCCTCTTTTCCCTGGAACCGATTCCACATACATTCCATGAGACAAACCTCAGGGTGGTCATGTTTAAACTAACTAGTGGAGTGTTGAATGTTTGCTAAACACTCATCAATAAAATACTGCAAACTGTCCAAGTCTTCTTCGCCGTCCTCCAGAGTGTTGCAGTCGATTGAAATATGCCTGTAATTCTTATTTTTATTACCTTTAAAGCTGTCAAAGAGTAAATTGGCAGAGAAAGTTAGTGACAGAAATGTTTGCAGTTAGTGGCACATTATGTCCAGTGCTGCTGAGATTTTTGTTTCATCCTGCGATATCACAGCATTGCTTTCTTCACTTACCTTCCCTTAGATTAGCTCCTTTACTTCAATAATAGTGGAATGGCTGTTCTGAAAACTATCGGCTACATTGTAAGGTAAATACTGTGCAAGGATATCTACTGAGGCTCAGTTTGATATTTGTCCTGAGCTTTTGCTGTGTTTTAGAGTCATCTAGATGTTCAGGCAACTCAGATCTCTGATCTCTCCTAGTTCCCCAGTGGGAAGAAAAGCAGACTTCTTAAGTGACACAGCAGTGCTTTCAAAGGGGCTCTTTCTGTTATAAATAAACAGGCCAGGGCTAGCCAAGCTCTTCCCCTCTGAGCTGCTACAGGTCTCAACACCTCGCCTGTCAGCTGTCGTCTGGGGGAACTGGCCCCTTTTTCCCCTCCTCCCTGTAGGACACTCTCAGAAATGTTACCGGAAACACATGCACTATTTTCAGACCATGCACTGCTGCAGTGTTTATGTTGTGACATGCAGCTCAGGTGGGCAAGGACTTGATGGTGTTTTTGTATTTGCCTTTTTAAGTATTCTACTACTGCTTGTGTTCTGCCCATGAGCATATAAACATTCATTGGCACATTTTTCTCACAATAAGCACACCAGGAGCTAAACCTCCAATCCAGTAAAGTCAGCTTTCTCGCTTACCGCACTGGCCTATTAAAACAGATTAGTTTAATTCCTGGCAAAATGAATGGGCTGATAACTGTTAGGCAGTGTATGCATGCATTCCTTTATACCTGCACCATACCAATGCAGGGGGGGGGGATTGCTGAGCTTTTGTTCATTAATGTTGGAGTTACTCAGGACTGACCATTGAAAAAAGGAGTGGCTGTCATTCTAGGTGGTCTGTTAATGCAGCATCCTGCTGGGGTGATCATTGAAATTACTGTGTTTCTTTAGGTGTCAGTTAAGTTTTCACGCCTAGGATTATTTGGGGGGAATGTGGTCATGCTATATTATCCAAGCCACATTGGGAATGCAATATAGGTTTTGAAATCACTTACATCTACCTAAGAAAATTTGAGAAAATCAGTGTTTATGCAGTTTTTTGATGATTTAATATAAAGTCTTATGAGTATGTTTCTTCTAAACTCTCAACAATACAACATAAATAAAGAGTAAAAGTAGCAAGGCTCCAAGTCTTGTCGTTTTGCTGTCACTGAGGCTGACAAAAAGACCATTAGAGATAGGATTTCATTTAGCATTAGGCTGGGGTATCTTGTTTCATGGCTGGTTTGCAATCTCTGCTCCATGTCTGGTCATGGTGTCGCCAGGCTGACCTTTTAGCCTGAAATACAGTATGTTATCCAATTTGCGAGTGATATTGTTTTGAACCAATTCAGATTCACACAAAAAGAAAAACATTTTAACCCATGTTGAACATCTAACGATGTAGCGGAATCAGTTAGCATCAGTCACATTTAAAGCACTTGAGCAGACCAAAATAACAGGTATGAAAGGTGTAAAAGTAAGGAATATTTGTAACCATGTATTCAGTGATGACTCCTCCATTTTAATTCCATGGGAACAACAAAGGAAAAGCTCATCACCTTTTCCAGTTGCCTACAGTGCAGCTATCCTTTCTCATCCTGTTTAGCTGCACCATGTACACAAGTCTATACAGGCTGGATGCTTATTCTGACATGCCTCCCTAAACAGTGAGGGTTGGTTTAAAGGGAAAGGCGTGTGTGTGAGGCTGTGTGGCAAATGCTAGCCCGAGGCCATAGTTGCTTGCCACATGGAATGTTTGGCCCTCCTATAAAGGGAAGGACATTAGATAAAAGCAACAGACTGCTGCAGAGGCAACAGATTAATAATTTTTCTTACATATTATGCTGCTTGTGCTAACATCACTGTTAAAATTTACTCACTCGGACCCCCCCCCCACCACTTTTGGGAAGCTCTGCCTTAACTGGTCTTGAGCAATAGTTATCTAGGTTTTCTGAAGGTTTTTCCTTTTTTTTTCATTTTCATTTTTAGTCCAGTCTTTGTACCAATCCATTTTCAGATGATTTTTATTTAGCCACTTAATGCTAATCTATGACTCATTCAAGCTAAAAAAACAAAACAAAAAACAAACACCTCTACCCAATTTTGAATTGTATCTTTTCCATTGCAATGCAATGCAATGCTTCTTATTGCATTGCACCCTGCAGCATCATTCTCCAAAT